GGCAGCCAGAGCATGCAGTGCAGTGCTCCAGCAGTGATTTAGAGGGCCTAGGGTTCTGGCTGCCACAGCAACCCTGGGCCCCTTGGAATTGCTGGACTGTGGGGCATTTGTCCCCTTCTCTCCCCATTGGTGGATCTGTCTGAGACTTAAATTCGTTTAACATTGACGAAAACTGATTTGTACTTCTTGATGTTTTGTGTTGTGAGCTAGTATTTTAAGTGAACTAATTGGACCTCTCACACACACCTCCATTAATTTACCAAGTGGAGAACTCACTTCACGCTTTTTTGCAGGTGTTGCATAATAGAGAGGATGATCAGGGATGGTCTAGATCAGTGTTTGTCAACCTTTTTTTTTCTTTTTTATAAAGTACCCCTTTAAAAAAAAAAAAAAAAAAGACTCCCAGTACCTACAGTTTTCTGACGCACATTTTTTTTCTACCATTGCAACCCATTTGTTTAAACAACTTAATCGTAGCCGGGGGGGCGATGAAGTTTTTGGGTGTCAAAAGTATAAAACTAATAAAGCGCTGTAAAACTAAAAACAAAAATTCGGTTTTATCCAAATTTCAGTTGTGTTGACGTACCCCCCAGACTTCTCTCGAATACCCCTAAGGGTACTCGTACCACTGGTTGAGAAACACTGGTCTAGATAATACTAGTCCTGTCATGAATGCTGGGTACTGGATGGGATCACCCTTCCAGTCCTATGATTCTATGATGCATTTTAATTTTTTTAAACTTATTTTCAGAACTTTTCAAACATACACAGTAAACAAGAGGAATACAGAAGGATATATCAGGTCATCTATTACGCACATAGGTATACTGTACAATGTGTCTATATGATCCAGTTCTTTAACAATTTACTTCTGATTGAAATTGAGTTCCCAAAATTCAGAATGTCTGGTGCCCTCTGAAAATCACCCCTTAAAGATATTTCAAGTTTGTCAGTTAAAAATTAAAGCACCCAAAAGCTTAATTGAAATGTTACTTTGTCTCTTATCTTCATTTTGTATTAGTGTTTTGTCTGGGCCCAAATGTACTCACCCCATTCTGGCAATTGGCTGGAAGGGAGACTTACAATTAAAGTAGTGGTTCTCCAACTTTCTCGTTCTGTGGACCAGTTTGTAAGTTGGGTCCCTTGATGATGTACCTCAGCCTCAAAATCTTCCACTTCTTGGGCCTGATCTGCACAGATTCGTACTGTTTTAGCTAAACATGTTCTTAATAGGGTTGCCAGGTGTCCAGTTTTGAACTGGACAGTCCAGTATTTGAGCTTTCTGTTCAGGAAACAAATTGAGAAAATAGAAATGTCCGGTATTTTCTAAATAAGATGTAATGTAGATTGTGATGTCATGTCATGTGTGTCCGGTATTTTTGTTGAAGCCATCTGGCAACCCTAGTTCTTAAACTGGTATAGTTTTGTATATAGCTCATATCTTGGTTTTCAAACTGTTCCATACTAATTATTGACCATTGAATCAGCCCACCCTACACCACTGTATGCAGCTGTGGGCATATATTGTCTTTCGCTGAAATTACTTGTGCCGTATTAGAGGCTCAACTTTGGGGAAGTCAGATCATTGCTATGCATCTCTCCCCTTCTGCGTTATTTTGGGAGAGATGTAAGGAAGCAAGTGACAGAAGAAATGTCATCCCCAGGATGAAATTAGCAACCCAAGCACATGAGGGTAGGAGATAGAGATGACCTCTACACCTAGTCTCTAGAAAGAGGTGAGGTAGCCACGGAAGCTCTAGGAGGAGCAAGATTTTC